TGACCTTTGGAAGAACAGACAGTGCTCTTAACCACTGAGCCATCTCTGAAGATATCTGATAAAACAGGGTCAGATGAAAGGGGAGGAGGCCCTCCCCTATCAGTGGACTTGGAAAGGGGCAGGGAGGAGACCAGGGAGGGAGTGTGGGGTTGGGGAGGGAATGAGGGAGCGGGATACAGCTGGGACACAGAGTTAACAAAATGTAACTAAAAAGAAAAAAATAATAAAAAAAGAAAAAAAAAAGATGAATGAAACAGCTTTTGAAAAATAAGATGAAACTGATACCAGCTCAGTGTTTTTTGAGCACTTACACTTTCAACTCCATTTTCCACATGACTAGTGACAAAAATATGTTTACAAAATGCTGTCTTGTTCCATGTAACTTTCAGCAGAAGTTGGATCTGTAACCTATGCCACATAGTAAAAGGAAAACCATAAAAATCCTGGGTGTCAAAAGAGACTTAGAGAGAATGAGTAAAAATATGGTTTTTAGCTACTCTTCTACCTAAAAATTTTTTACTTCCGAAGTGCTTATTGTGTAGGGCACTGTATAGAACGCTTATATTCATTATCACCTCTGGGAAAAAAAATATACTATTTAACAGAAATGTTAAAACATCTGTAGTACACTTATTTTCTTCCTCAAAAACTAAAGATAATAAAAATGTGAATGTAATAAACTAGTGTAGTAATGCTAGTCAAATAAAATTTGTTTCGAAATCTTCAACAACATTCCAGATGTTAGTGTCAGAATACTTCCTGGGTGCCCCTGTTTCACTGCATTAAATGGAGGTGTGGTGATATACGCACTGCCTTATGCCTCGCATCTATAGAATGGGAAAGGCACTCACAGCCGAGAGAGTCTATTTCACGCAAAGAAATTTAGAACCTCTCTGTGAGTTTTTTTTCCTTAAAAATGCACAATGCTTTTAAATAAGACATGCATATATCGTGTGTGTGTGTGTGTGTGTGTGTGTGTGTGTGTCACAAAATCTCATGCAGTCCAGGCTAGGTTCCAATGCACTATGTATTTCAAGCTGTCTTCAAACTCATGACTGTCCTGCTTCAGCCTCCCAGGCATTCTGACCTTCACACTCACGGCTGTCTGTTGCAGCAGTTTTCCATTAAAAAAAAAAAAAATGTTACTTAAAAATATGTTGGAGGCTGGAGAGATGGCTCAGCGGTTAAGAGCACTGACTGCTCTTCCAGAGTACCCGGGTTCAATTCCTAGCACCCACATGGCAGCTCACAACTGTCTGTGTAACTCATGTTTCCAGGAGATCTGACACCCTTCTATAGGCATACACGCAGACATGCAGTCAAACACCATATACAAAAAAATAAATAATTATGTTGGGAGCTAGAGAGCTGGATCCATGAGTAGGAAATACTCTTACAAAGGACTGGAGCAACTACTGTCAATGACTGCTAGCTGCTTGTATCTCTAGCTCCAGGGATTCTATCTCACACACACATACATACATACATACATACATACATACATACATACATACATACATACATACA